TAACTTTACCTGACAACATTTTCCTCTGATGCAGTGGCTAACACTTGCCTTCCAGCCCAGATTATTTGACTTTTACCAGATTGCCCACTAAGTTTTACCTAATCAAGAAAATAAACTTCTGATGACTATGGTGACAGAAAAAAAGCTCTAATTCTTAGCTCCATGTAGCAACATATTAAAAACAACATAGGACAATTGCAGCTTCGGTAATTCTCACAAGATGAGAATCCTGTCTTCGAGACAGGATTTGAAGCTCTCAAGCGAGGAATCATTCCTCAAGAGAAACAAGATGCAGAATTATTATAATTCCAAATATGTGACATTATGCAGAGTATGAAAAGTGGATACAAACTCTACAAATGTGTCTGATGCAATATTATTCTCCTTTGTGGGTATAAACATTGAATGATGTGAAAATTTATTTCCAGCTCTGACCTTAGCAACTTCTGATGTAGTGCCATCATGTGCCACTCTGTGCTGTGAGAGGATCAATCCTTCTGTAACTACCACAATCATGTCCCTTCCCTCACTGTACAACAAGAACTTGACAGGACCCTCTGCAGTGAAACACTGCGAACAACGGCCTTTATCATCCATATAGTAAACAGAACCTGCGTTGAACATGAAACATGATTACGTACCACATAATAATGTCAACACGAGACAATGCAGTTTTGAGGTTAACACAGTGACCACAATTCTCACTATAAATATTTCTAAAACAAAGGTAAGATAAAGAAAGAAAACTAAGCATGTGATTTTAAGAACTGGTGATTATTATAATAGAATAAAAGTTGCTGGCCAGATAAGTGAACATTAGAGCTTTGTAAACCTGAGGAAACTCTCGTAAGAATAAACGTACCATCTGTGACTCCAAAAAAGAAGGAATAATCAGATGATGTATTTGATGTGCTTTTGTTGCTCTTCCGCCAACTTAACATGTCCAATGCAGCCTCGTCTCCTGCCACAGCTGCTTTTGCCAAGCTAGATATGTCACTGTAAAACACAGTAATATTATAACTTTCATGTAATAACTGTAATAAGATGACAGTTACATCTAGCTGTCATTTTGCATCAAATATATCAATTAAAAATTCTAATGACCTCCACTGCACGTAGTTCTAATGTATAGTTCCAGAAAATATCCATACCTCCCCCACAGAAGAGATTTTTTTCTAAGACCCCCATCCCACCCCTTTGAAAATCCCAATTAAGCTTCATACATTTCTTTAAATATTTTGGTTTTACAAAACCCCTAACCCCCAAGGAAATTCCAGTCCTTTCTGTGGGGGAAGAATGGCTATTTTCTGAAACTGCACAATTTGAAAATGGCCTATTAGAGAGATTGTTCCGAATAGTTCACAAACCCAGTGTGACAATTAAAAGAGACATGCACTCCAAAATGATTTGTGGAGTCCAGAGTGATTTGGACATCTTAAAAGCTTTGTGGCTTTAATTTGAGGTCAACAATTTAAAATTTAAACCAGGCAAGCCTTTCTGTAAATGATAGTGCAGGTTAAGCCCAAGTATAATTCCAAAGGCTTGTGTTATATTGTTTTTGTCTAGTCAGGGCTTAACACTAAATAATCACTACCACAAACTGACTCACAAAAGTGTGACTTCTTGATTTATACTCACTACTCAGGGCTTGATGGTGGTTTGAAAACACAAGCTGTTATTGGTGAAGAAGCATCATGTTGGTGCAATGGAGATTGCTGTAGTCTACCCTTCTGATCTGCTTTCCAGACTGCCAAGATCCCGGTCTATGCAGAAGAGCAGCAAAGAGGTGCTTATGATGTCTTTTATAATGTACAACTTACTTACAGAAAAATTATTGGAGTACTCTAAATAAATCTAGTTGCTAAAACATCATCAATGTACTAAATTGGATACCCAACTAGCAGAAAGAATTAATAGTAAAACATTAAAAAGGTCCTCTTCTTCAAAACTAACTTTAATCAAGACATTCGATTTCATACACAGTGGTGTTAATTAATGCACCACATGGTATTCTGGCAGCAACATAATTCAAGAAGAAGGCCAATAGCTAAACCAGCCTGACACTGTCACTCCAATAATTTCTAAGTATTATACCAGGTCAACCTTTTTACACATTTTCATTAATTAAGCCGTGTAGTTACTTGTCAAGCTTGCCCTGGACTGTATTGGGAGAACAGCTCTCACTGATATCTCTGCAGGATGCACCATACTCAACCATATATTATTAACAGAGACAAAGGGCTGATACTCTTCCAATACAGCTTTGTTCACGACATATACTTAAGAAGCTTTGAATAATACCACAATAGTACGCCACCCCTCAGTGGAACATTTATCTCAAACAAATACCTCATCAGTGGTAACAAGTCTGTTCCCATTGTTACTCCACTGTATAATCCGGACTGCAGACTGATGAATAGAAGAAGCTTCATGTAGCTCATGGTCATGTTCATTCCAAATTAACACATCACCACTCTGCCAGCCGATTGCAAGAATCTTTCTTACAGGGTGCCACAAAATAGCTGTTACTAAGCTGGAACGTTGTATTGAAGAATCTTCCACAAGTTCACCCTGATACAGGTGGACATAATAAAACGTTAGTTCAAAGAGAATTACTACTAAAAGGATAATTTATTAGTATTCTGTAAACTAGAAAAAGTAATGGGGCCATGCTAACTTGCAAACTTAAATTCCACAAATGGTGATGCAATGAGCTCCAGCTATTGTAAAAAAAAAATGTAAATCTTATTTATAGTGGTCATGCACTTAGCTATACAAGCACTATTAAAGCGTAGCTAGTTTACAGACATGCCACTGAAACAAAGAAAACAAATATTTCATACTGACGAAACACAGTTAAAAATCCCAACTAGCAGAAGGTAGACCAGTTGGCTATTTACAAAGTGTGATCGAGGATTTGAACTCAAGACTACCGAGAAACAAATCCCACTAGTGGCAGGGTGGAGGCCTTGAACACAGGACATCCGGATTACAACACCAGCGCTCTAAACCACTCGGCCACGCTGCCTCTGCTTTCTTATCTACATGCACAAAAGATAAGAGAGAAAGGGGGCTGACCAAAGGGACATGGAGTGGAGCTGGGCAGCGAGAGATAGCAGAGCAGGGTTGGAGTTGGAGACAAGTTACACAATATATACAAACAGTATATACAACAGGTCACATGTTATTAGTCTCTGTTTCTGTTTCATTGATATAGTTTGATTGCATTACGTATTTGTATGCTACAATGAGTATTTTTAAAAAATAGAAATTAATGTTGCAGCCATGAAAAAAGTTCTAATATTACACTTCTACATTCTCATAATGACCACCTCTCTTTAACAGCCACTTTTCTCTGTCCTCAAGGTGGCTGTTGTGGAGAGGGTTGGCTGTACACTGTGTACTGTCTGATTAATGCAAATGCTACAATCAGATTGGCTGAGCTACTGTAGACTATAAGCCATTGGTGTGCAATAGCTGGCGGTCATCTAAAAAAAATGGCAAGCTTTTCTCATTGCGTGATGTTCTAGGGAAAGTTCAAGAAACATTACTGGACACCTCAATTCGTGAGGATACTAAAAGGATATACACTGTTATGCGACTTTTAACTTTCTTGTAAAGACAGCTGCAATTTGAAATGAAAATTCAGTCTGTGTGTGATTTCACTAAAAGGTGTGAAGTTTGATGCTACTCTTTTATGTGAAGAAAAAAAAGAAATCATTGTTTGAAGGAAATTTAGTTAGGAATCTACTAAAACAATCGGATTATTTACTCTCAATTTCAATGAAAAGATAGTTGACTTGGCATTTATATCAATCAACACATCATAGAAATCTTGAGCTTATAATCTAATTTTGTGAAAGTGAAAGGTGTTGTATGTCATTTAGGAATGTAAGTGTAACCTCTAAGTTTAGAAATACGTACGTTCTATGAAGTACTTCTGTTGTTCATTGCTTACACATGATACGATTATTTTTGACACGCACTGTGCTGAATGAATAACATACCTCGTCAAGATAGAAGTTAACTGAACCACCTACATCCGGTTCGTTTTTTGAGGCAACTGCCAAGAGTGGATAAGTGTGGTGCCACGCTATGTCAGTTTGTATAGCTACTGAAGGAGCTTGAATCTTGTGGTCGAAGTATACCGCCATCGTTGAAGACGACCAAATGTAAAATAAAAATCCGCTAGTTGAAAGTAAACCCAACCAGGGTGAGTAGTCTTCTCCTCATAAGATCGTGTGTACTTGACAATTTCTGTGATATCGTCTATGTATACAGCACGTATGGCATCTATAGTGCAATCTTGATCCTCCAGCTGGGAATTGATAATTACTGAGTACGTACTCGCTCAAAATATCGAGTTTCTCCCAAAGTAAACGTAAGCAGCTGTCTGTATCAAAGGCAAGAAATAAGCGCTACGAATCTTCCTGTTTTTTCCAAAGGTTCCTCGTTGCAGCGCCAACGAACGATTAGCGCAAAAATTAAGGCAAACTAATATGGGTCAACCAAGTCAATAGCAACCGCACTGTTGCCACGCAAAATTATCCCTGATTTTGAAGACGAAATCTTCAAAGAATCACAATTTTTTCTACACCTCCACACTGACAAATCCCTAAATGATGCTTTCCTCGGGTAAAAGCGTACAATTTGTTGAAAATACGGACAACTCAGGCCATTTTTTCCACTTCTCTTCGTTAAAACAAGCGCTGAAAAATTCATAAAAGCCCGGATATGCTGCTATATTTTTGTTTGTATCGCCGCTGACTAGTGCCTAGCAACAACCACCTGCGCAAAATTCAAAATGGCGGGAGGAGGGCTCCATAGTTCGGTATTTCTTGTAATGGTCTCTGGTCAGATAGAGTCTGCAAGGGTAAGATAAAACTAGCTGTTCACGAAAATATATATTTATGTTTTATTTAAAACTGTTTATTTTATTCGTCTGCGGCTTTCAGTTTCCCGAATTTGACGATTTGTACTGCAAGTACAGTTTTGTTTATGGTCAAGACTGGGTCGTTACGTCTGTAAGTATTTTTGAATTCTTGCACTTAGATAATTCTCCAACGTTTTCCTCCATTGCCATCGTTTGTTTCTTTCATGGAAGCTTTCGTTTTAGTATCATGGCTGTCAAAGTTTTGTTTTATCTCCATACATTTGTACAACAATCATGCCGAGCTTTGTATAAAGTCAATTTTTTGTGAACATTATAAATATCAAGTGACGTCATCATCAAAATATGTGAAAATTAAGTACACAAAATCCAACATAAAGTAACAAGTTTACCGGTTAATAATGTTTTGATTTTCCTCAGGGTTGGGAAGAAGGAATTTCTCAGACCACTAAAAAGAGTTTGGATAGACGGCAGGTCTTTGTTTTCAATTTTCCATTGGACATTACTTTCAAAAGTACAAGTCCTTATGGATGTAAGTTGATAATAGAGCAATGAGGCTAAATTTTTTCATTTGTTTTTTGTTTTTGTTTTTTTTTTT